ATTTTAACATCACTTTTACGTCAAAATAGGTCTCAGTTTTAGCGATAATCTGTTTATTCGTAAGAAATTTCTTACCGGCAAGCATTTTTTTCATAAAATTTTAACAGCTGTCTTTTGAATGATTTTATTAACTGAAAAAAAAGGTAACTGCAATAAAACCAGAGCCTGAATTATAAAATAATAAAAATTAATTTCCATAATCGATTTCTAATCACTTTATAAACTTAAAACAAATACATTTTACTATGCCAAATATTAAAAACTAAATATATATATAGTATAAATTATTATTATTTTGTCGCAAATTGTCCCAAAAATGAAACTAGGCGTGGCACTAGTGGCACCTTCCGTTACCCATTTGCAATATTTTCTGCTCGGCAATTTGGAGGCATTTGTGCATGAAATTACATTGCAAATTTAATAGTGCACACAAACACACACATACATACATACACACACTCATTGCCACAAAAGTGTTTTAGGTTGCAGTGTCGGCTTTTCATAGATAAGAATTAAGATTATAGCAAGGGGACCCATAATGTAACATATACCCCCAATTCTTTGCTGTCAAAAATCGAGGCTAACGAAGAGGTTCTTTTTAATGTTCTGGAAAAAAGTCTATGAATTAACTATTAACAACGATAAACCTGGCAAACTTTTCTCACGCAATCATTAGTTGATTGTCTATCGATCTGTTGGATTTAATCCACAGCCCAGGCTCGCTTTTCCGCCTGCCTTTCAGTTGCAGTCTCCGCAGCCACACGTGGAAAGTTGCCGAGTATTTCTCCTGTTGCGGTGGGGGGAGGAACAACAAAAAAAAAAACAGCTGGGAAAAACTGTGAAAACCCCTCAGCTGATGCAATTTTCCTGTGCGAAAATTAACAAACAAATGCACAAACACACACACACACACACACGCAAACGAGTGTGTGGCAAATGAAAATGCGCGCGCGAGAATTCAATTTGTGGAAAAGAAAATGGTGTTGGACGAGTGCGGTGCTGTGGAAAAACTAGCGTGTTGTTGGGTTTAGGCTATGGTTTAGCCTGCTGCCTGTTTACTTGAGGTTGCCCCATCCTCTGCTTCGTCCTCCTCGAATTTCCGCCCATTTTCTGCCGACTTTTCCATATGAGGGCCAGCAGCCGGAAGGAAATGCAAGCGAGCAAACGAAGCAAATACTCAGCAGAGGCAATAGCGGAGGGAAAAATGAAGCAGAATAGTCTCGGTCTTGGTTTCGGTTTCGGTTTAGGTTTAGGTTTAGGCTCTGCGGAAAAGCGGAAAAGCAGCGCGAATGTCTTGGCTTAGACCAAAAATTGGCACAACCGGAAGTCGATTGAGTTGGCTGTCGCCAATCACTCGAAAAGAGGGGTAGGACGAACGGTGGTCGGAATACCACACAATGTTAAGAAGTTTAAGGCCTGAGTAAAGCCACTGATAACCCCCAACTTGAGTGAGCTGACTTGGATTGCAAAAATAAACATTTGCGAATTCAGAAAGGCTTCAGATCTCACTAAATATGTATATATTTTCCTATCTCGCGTTTTAAGGGGAATCCCCAAGTTGTTTAATATTATTACTTGGCTTCCTTGGAAATATGTTAACTGTAAGCAAACACGTAGAAACCAAGAGAATAAGCACTCTCCATTGCTTGTTGAGAATGTTGTTTGCAATTTGCTATAAAAATAGAACAACCTTGATATGCTTAATCTTATCAAATTTTGCACAAAAAACATAGCTAAGGAAATGCTTTTAAGCAAACAATATCGCTTTGGTTGCAAATGATTTGTAGATTTAATTTCTGACCTTGTTACTTATTTGAAATGTTTTAAGGTTTAAAAATACTTTGTTTTTCTTATTAATTATGCATTTTAAACTCATATAGAACTAAGGTTTTTCAAATGCCTTGGCTTTTTCCATATGACGTTTTCACATCAGGCAAATATTCCTCCGTTTTGGTATCGCAATTGCCAGGACAACGTTGGAACACATTTAACGTACAAAGTACCCAAGCACCGCAGAAATACACAGAAAATTATAGGTATTACCTTGTCTAAATATAAGGTTATATGTATATTTATTTCAAAATAAAATAAATAGGAAATTAATGATTCTTAGAACTAGAAAATAGGGTATTACTTAGGAGAAGATTAGCAAGCAGCTATAAATGTTTTAGTTTAAGAGAAAATACACAAAAATTCGAAAGTAGTTTAAATTTTTTTATATTTTCAATATTCCAACTCAAAATTAGCTTAAATTGTTATTGTTTTTTAATAGTTTCTTATTTAATTTTCTGCTTAAAACTTGTTTTTAAATGCGTTCTTAATGGTTTCAAGACGCTCGCAAAGATAACTTTATATAAAGACTCTTTGAAACATTAAAACCTTAACTAAATGACTCCAATGTATGCCTTAGCATTAACAAATATTTTAAAAATATATTTCTAAATAATTAAATGTTACTTTATACTAAATATAACCAACATCAACAACAGTTTTGAATTGTCTCTCGGTGCATAGGTGGCTTGTCCTGCTCGCTGCTGAAATACAAATGATGGCAATCTGTCTGCCCAACTGTTGGGTGGCTCAAGTGGGGCGGGGGCGGTGTGGTGCTGTGCGGTGTGCCACGCCCTCGTCTGCACACTCCGTCCGCGGATTGTGTGTGTGTGTGTTTGGCCAAATATTTCTATTATTAATGTCTGTTTATCTGCATGCGACGATGTCCCTGTGAGCTTCCACTTGCTACCCACTTTCGCACTTCCTCTTATAATATATATATATACATGTATTTATATATTGCTATATGTATTTATATATATATGTCTATATACCATATAGCTCTCCGATCCCATGTTTTCGCTGCTTTATGAGCTTCGATTAATTTTCCGCGTAAATAGCAAGCGGGGAAGAGTTTTCCTTTTGTTGCTGCTATCTGTGAGGCTATTTATAAACATAGTTTATTAGTTGTTTCTGTTGTTGTTGTTGGAGCGATTAAAACCTTGGCTCCCGCTCTCTCCTCTCCTGGTTCCTAGAAGCTAGAGCACAAATATTGAAGATATTCCGGGAAAAAGGAGGGAGATCTGCCCAAAAATTAGCACAATTTAGTTGAGTTATCAAGCCATTAGCTAAATTATCTACTCGGTTGAGTGCAAATCGAAATGGGTCTTATAGAATTTGTATAAAAAATAAATAATAGTAATAAAATAAATAAAAAAGCAGCTTATACAGAAGTTCTTATGATTATTGTAATGTATAAAAATAGACTAGACTTTCAATTTTTATTTTTACGAATCTCTGACATTAAAGCCTTTCAGTTTTTGAAAGAAATTAATTGTTTCAAGTATTTTATTAATATTAATTGATAATTTCTCCCCGTATATGAGAACATTTTCATTTTCACATCATTTGTGTAATATAATGAATGTAATAATCCCCTTTTAGTCCCTCACTCATATCACTCCTCAATTGCTTTGCAAAACCCATAGACAAGGCCTTGTGTGTTGCGAATCAGCAATTAAACACCTTAAAAAGGTGACATCACACCTGGCCACTCGATGCACTTGTGGTTTATTGAGGAAAGTCGGATCGTAAAACAAAAAAAATTGCAAATAACGTTGCTTGTAAATCTTTGCCAGAGTGCTCCCCCTTTATCGCTTGTGTACTTTAATTTGTTTATGTTTTTTGTTTGTACATATTTACCAGCGATAATATTCTCTAATAATTACAGTCAGAGAGAAGTTTACCGGCCCAGCTGCTGCCCTTCTCTCGTTACCCCGGTTTCAGATAGTGTAAATTTCCAAGTTAAATATGAAAGGGAAATCTGTCGACTCTTGGTGATCAAATGTTTGCCAACAAATGTGGTGTCGGTGTACGATGGGTCAGTTGTTTAGATAGTGACGCACCCCGTACCGGGCCGAGATTAGGCGTTCTTGATAAACATGGCTAATAAACAGAGGCGGCAACGTCGGCGGGTAAACAAACAAAAACATTGCAAAAATATGTATAAAAATATGCGATTTGCACCAGACATGTGTGTTCATTAAGGCACTGAAAGAAATGGGAATATGTTATAAGTTTAATATATTTAAAGTTTGTATTGAGAAAGTGTTATATATATTAATGTATAATGATTTTGGGATTTGCCTTTGGAAGACCATCCAGCATTATAGAAGGTTGCCATAGAAATAATATATTTATTATATATTTCTATAATTTATATATATTGTTTAGTCTTGTATCTGTCTAATTTACATATGTTTTAGTCATATATTTACATCATAAATCATAAAGAACTAAATCTTCAGACAAAAGCTATAAAAACTATATTAGTTGTCAGAAAACTTTTAAATTATTTCCATGGTTATGTAAGAATATCCATTGGGGGAAAATGCAATGTATTTTGAATACTAATACTTTGTTTAATAATTTATATTTGGTTTGATCTACCAATTTATACAATTTTTAAGTATATATGTACAATCTAAATCTTAAATAACTTTAGTTTTAGACTGATTTCTATTTTATTTCCTTACTTTTCTGAGGATAATGATAGATGAAAATTGTTCTACCTCCGAATTTAGTTATACAATTTGATGTACATATCAATTATTTGTTTCCTTGGATTTCTTTAGTTTTCCCTTAATTTTTCTCACTGTGTACCCCTTACATATGTGTATGCCTGAGCTTTTCGCCATATCGATGTGCGAATTGAGCTTATCTAATGAGTCGATAATAAGGGGCGAGTGGCAGCGGTGGCAAAGGAAGTGCATTGCATGGGCTTAGTGTTAGTATTAGTACTTCTATTTGCATTCGTATTAGTGCTGCGGGTTCTGGAAGCTTTTCTGGCCTGGCCAGGCGAGTTCCATGGAACCTGGAGGCCGACGTGACCGGCGGCACATCAGCCATTAGCCGCGAGAAAAGCTTCCCGCGGGTTCTGGGAGTGCTGGCTGGGATCGAAGCTATATATGATATCTATATAAGGCCCCATGCCGGGCGTGCGTCCCGCGCATATTGCAAGCAACTCTTTTCGCGTTCGGTTCGCATTTAAGGGAAAACCCCTCTCGTAGTTTCCGTAGTTTTTCCCCAATATAAAATCAGCATGTGGTCGAAGGTAGCCATCAGTGGAGCCCTGCTTGTCATGGGCGGTGTCCTGTCTGTCAGTGTGGTGGACAATTTTGCCTATGTGGATCGCTCTCTGCCGGTGGCCATGCCACAGGCCAAGGGTCTGGTGGCCAAGGATTAAGAAAGTAAAGTGAAGGCGAGCGAGAGGGACTCAAGGTGGATGGGCACCCCTAGTTCCCGTTGCAGGAACAGCAGTGTGCTTCACAGTGTGTGGTCCAGGGGATGTCTAGCTATTCCAGTTTATCTTCAAGCTGGACATAGTTGAGGGTCTTCCCAGTGGTGATGGTGACCACTTACCCAGCTGCCTTTGTGCCTGAAAGAACAACTAAATTTTAATTTATTTTTATTATTTTTTTTTGTTTTGTTTAATATGTCATAAGTTATAAAGTTCCTAATGTGTAAGCAATAAAATGTTTAAGCCCTAAAGGGATGCTTAATCTCTGAAGTTATCTGTTTTAACTTGTCGAGTTAATTATGTTTCAATCGAAATAACTTGAGTGTTATAATTTTGCAAATTTAGAAATCTTATGGATTTGTTTTACTTGGCTATTTGCTTTTAATACTTTTCTTTCTTCTGTGACTCTTGAAGTGATTATTGCACGATTTTTAGAATTTTCCATTTACTTTTTCGGCTGCCCTCTTGGCCCTTTCATTGAGCAATCTTAGCTGAGATTTGCGGGTTAGGATCGATGGAACTCTGGATTGGGATAGTCCAAGACTTAGAGGACACGGTGGCGGTTGTAATTTCTGTACAGGAATCGGTGCTAGAGTCTTTGCCTCTGTTGGAATTGGTACTTTTACCTCTTCCGGTGCTTGTCTCTGTGCCTGTTGTACCTCTGCCTGTACCTGTACCTGTGCCTGTACCTCGTCCTGTCCCTGTGCTTGCACCTGTGCCTGTGCCGTGTCCTGTTCCTGTGCCTGTACGTTTGCCTGCACCTCTCCCGAATCTAGACTTGAAGTGTTTTCCGACTTAATTGGCTCCTTAAAAGTTTCACCCATATTTTGATTAGCTTTAGTCTGTGTCCAAACAGCTGTGGGAACTATACCCGGTGAAGGATCCACGAAGGGTTTTTCTTCTACAGCCGCTCCCATTCCCACACTGCCCACTCGTGTTCCCAGAAAGGAAGGACCTGGTGCAGGTCGTCGTGCACTTTGATTGGCAGCTGCCCTTAGAGCCGCCATGGTGGGCAGACGGAAATTTGGTGGCGGCTCCAAAAGGAAACGTTGCGGCTGTACAAGTTGCTGTACCGGAGGCTGTACCAGCAGCTGTACCGGCATATGTACCGGAATCTGTACCGGCGCCTTTACCAGCAACTGTACATGCGGCTGTACCGGCGGCGGTATCAGTAGCTGTACCTGCGGCTGTTGCATCGATTGTTGTACCAGCACCTCGTTTGGACGATGTGGCATGGAACCCGGTCGGACACTGGCATTGCTGGATGTCAGTGGCTTCTGTATGGTGTTAGCACCCACCTGCTGGTTGGCCTTAAGGCTGGCAACAAAGGCATGCAATTGGCTGGCACTGAATAGAATCTTTCGCTGCTCACCATTGGGCCTCTTTTGAATGGCCAGAAAACGTGTCTGACCCTGGCTGGTCACCTGGGCGATGGTTACATTTGGCCCAAAGAGCTTTAGGTTCTCGCTTAGCTGGGCAATGTCCTGGGCGGTGTTCCCAGGCTGAGGCTGGATCTTTGAAGTAGGAGGAGGAGGAGGAGGAGGTGGAGTTGGTGGCGGTGGAGGCGTTGGCGGCTTTGGTGGTACTGGATCGTCATTCAAATTCTTGGGTATCACAAAGGGCAAGTGTGCTGGCTGCACAATGACCTTGGGATAGATCTCGTTCTCCAGCGGATTGATGACATGGGCCAGATAGTTGGGCACCGGTGGCAGCGGCGGTGGTGATTCCGGTCTGACCCGACGCTTATATGGCTTCCGGGTGGTAACTCCACTGGGTCTGGTCCCCAACGGAGGTCTGCCGCGTCTGCGACCACGAATAGTCAGCCCAGTGTTGTTGCGGTTCATCACATCGTCGGGGGTCTGATAGATTGGTATACGAAATTCGGAACGCATGGGCGGCACATAGAGATCAACCAGTTCAATGATTGTATTCGGTTGGATCACATACTCCCGCTCCACGAAGGGGATGGAAATGGTGGTGGCAGCTGCAGCGGCAGCAGCAGCAGCGTTAGCAGCAGCAACAGCGTTAGCAGCAGCAGCAGCGTTTGCAGCAGCAGCAGCGTTAGCAGCAGCAGCTTTGGATGTAGATGGTCCATCATCCAGCAGGGTATCATTGGGTTCCTCTGGACCCGATGCGATCACTGATATTTCCTGCGACATGGTTGTCTGAAAGAGGAGAAAAGGGAAGATGCAGTGAGAGGGAGTAGGAGAAGAGTAGGAGGAAGTAGAAGGAGAGGAGATGAGGAAGAAATGGATGAGGAGGAGAGAGTTAAGGAGGAGAGAGTTAAGGAGCTCAGAGATCAGAAGGAGAGGGATAAAGAGGTGAGAGTTGAGGTTGTGAGGGATATGGTTCAGAGGGAGAAGGACACGGACGAGGAGATGAGGGATCACGAGATTAGGGATCACGAGGTGAAAGATCAGGAGGAGAGCGATCAGGAAGTGAGAGATCCGGAGGAGAGGGATAAAGAGCAGAAGGAGAGTGATAAAGAGGTGAGCGATATGGTGATGAGGGAGAAGAAGACGGTGACGGAGACGGATGAGGAGGTGGAAAATGAGGTCATAGAGAAAAGAGGAGAGTGAGCGAGAGTAGAAATAAGTTCCAACCCCGCAGACCCTACATATTAATTTGCATTTGGTTCGGGCCTCATTTGCCTTTATTTTTGCTGACTCTTCAACTGGGGCGGCCTATAGGGAACCCACTCCCAGCTCAGAGTCCCCTGGCCTTTGTCTTTGTCGGTCACTCAACAAATACACTTGGGGAAATCAAAAGGAAATGATTAAAGTTAAGATAAAGAAAAAATTAATATAGATGGTTGGTTATTTAACATGTAGTAAAGACTTCGATTTAGCACTAAAGTGTGCTGTGAATTGTGATAAGGGACGGGCAGAGAACTAAGCAGTGATCCCATGTGTCAGGAAGTTAGCTTCATTGATAATAAATAATCAATAACAAAAGATTAATTTTTAAACTTAAATAAAAACTAAAATAGTGCTTTTCAGTATTTTATAAAGTGAAATACATTATAAATATTGTTAAAAAGTATAAATATTGATTTTACGAATATAAATTTAAATACTACGATATATTATACTTATATCTAAATCTATATTTCTTATTTATCATATAACATTTATCCTTACAAAGGGGATCAAACCCAAAAACTCAAGTTGTCTTTAATTTACAACCTATGAAATAAGTAGAACAATTTTCTTTCAGTACTTGCACACACCATACACACACCCGCACACTCTCTCGTACTCCCTTCTGCTCTGCGACACCCCCTTTCCCCCCGAACACACACTCACAAAAAATGACTGGCAAGCCGCAAATACTTTGTCAGGCTCAAGTTGACAGTCGTCCTGGGTCCTGAATTCTGAATCCTGAATTCCGAGGCCTGAGGGCCGGAGTGCCTGGCGCCATAGGCTCGCTCTATCAACCTCCTTTCCCTCTCTCTTTTCTCGGGCCTCCACGCATTTGACACTTTTTTGTGGAGAAGCCATATGCCCACCCACTATTTCTCCCTGTGTAGCCCCTTGTATGTGCTTGTGTTTGTGTGTGTGGACGCATTTGGCAGAACAGATTGTTGAAGATTTGATTTCGGGCAGAGAGCTTTGCCACTGGACTCCACACAGTCCACATCCAGAGGCAAGGAGGAGCAGGACATTGCCCCATTTGCCACTCCCCCCCATTGCTGCCTGGAACAATCGTTAATCTAATGAAAGATGACATTTCATGTGGGCCTGGAGATGTTTATGTCCCAACAACACTTGTGACCACTACCGTCTCCAGCTTCCACTCCCATTCCTGCTCCTGCTCTCGTTCTTGTTCTCCTTCCCGGCCCTTTGGAGATGGCTCCTTCCAGTTGCTCGCATCTCATCCGATTTGTTGGGGGCATCCATCATTCCCCGGTCCCCTCGGCTTTTCGGGGGCTTTGATGAATAAGCGGCTAGTTAAGCAGAGGGATGCCCAAAAGATGCAGAGGAGGAGCAGGAGCGATCAAAGGTCAATTTACAGGCCAAAAAAGTTGCCATTCAACGAATTGTGAATTAAGCCAAGAAATAATAACATTAACTACAAATAATATATATTACTTGATATTATATATTCATCATTTCAAAGTCCTTGATCTTGATACTGTTTCGAGTCTGATTAAAACCTAGTTTCCATTTTCTCGGTGCACTTAACCCTAAACCCATCATCACTCCATGCCTTCTGGCACCCACTCAGCAGCCACTGGCCAATAAAATTTGATTAGCCTGAACAGAAGACGAGGCTAAAAGGACGAGGACTCCTTCGGAGGACCCCGAGAAATATGAGAACTTACGGCTTAGGGGTAAGGGGGGGACATGTGTATTGTGTATTCATGAGGCCAAGCGACAGGACATCAGGCAACTTTGGGTTAATTTACATTATAAACTTTGAATATTTTATTGTTTGCCCGGGCTAAAGGATACCAGATGGCCCCGGGGCTGGCTCCGCCTCCTCTTCCTGCTGCTTGGCCACATTTATTGACACTTTTGGTGGGCGACAAGCAGGCAGGGAAGCTGGGGGGCAGGTCCTTTATCCGCAAGCTCCTGCGGTCAGCAAAGGACCGGGGACCATGACTCTGATTTAATGGCGGCATCAACATTTTTGGCCAGATTATGATGGAGCTAGCTAGAGAGCAAGGTCCTTCGCTTGGCCAACCGGGTCTGTCGCTAGGATACCGGGCATCATTAGCATGGCCAGTGCTTGTTAGGCTTTTAAGCATTGGGTTACTAAATAATTAAACAATTCTCCCCCACCTTCCTCCTTCCCCCTCCCCCGTTGCCAAATCAACCGCAGAATTATGGTGCGCCAGGTGAGTATTTAATTTCAGGCCAAAATTCAAATTATAATTCAGAATTGATTCCAAAACCGATACAATATCGGCATGCCACCCCTCCCTACACCACAGACCAGTTGATTTTAGTTGCAGTGAATTTCAGACTAAAACGAACTTTAAATGGAGAATTATTATAGGGAATTGCTATTGAAAATGTAGAAGTTTCGAGGCTTATTTCATATTTTATTATTCCTATATGAAACAAGCCAAACTTTTGGACTTTATAAATAAATATATAAATTGAAATTCCAGGGAATTGCTATTAAAAATAAAAGTTTTCTACTTTATTATTCTTATTTGAGACATGCAAAAGTCTACGACTTTAAAAAGAAAAAATTATAAATATTTCTCGTAGCCTTTCAAATATGGAATATTTTCTACAAATTGCAACAATTTTTTCCCCCAAAATCATATCAGAGGTTCAGGGACATTCAAAGGGATATTAAACATTGGCATGCATTTAAGCCAACATTTATTCCTGTTGGCCACTTAGTTCTGGCTTTGGTCTCGCCATTGAAAACTCTACTTTATGGGCTTGGAACGTTTTTCCGGGCCAACCTGATGAAAGTTTTACCTGCTGCTAATAAGCTACGTGTCCTTTGCAGGATGGGTGGGCTTTTCGGTCTAATAAAAATACGAGACAGTTTAAGCCGGCAACGCTTTTTTGTGCTTCGTTTGAATATTAAGCCACATGTGAATATGAAGGCACATTCCCTGTCCTGGAAATTAATACAAGGAACAAATAAAAGCTGGCGTCAAGGATTAAGCAAAGGATTCTTTGCAAATGCCGCCCAAAGAAAACTCATTTTAAGAAAACGCTCCCTTATCGCGGCGACGGCATCGAAATTAGCCAAAAGGAGAAGGAGATTGGCTGGGAAAAAAAGAAAAATTGGAAATGGAAAACTGGGCGGAAAAGCTGGGGACAAAGCGTATGCAGGCGTTGGCGGCGCTGTTGCAATAAATTATAATGCAAATCCGCATTCAAGATCGCAGCAACAACAAAAGGCTACAAAATGGGCATTAAATGCTCGCCACTTGACTGCGCCACCCCCCCGGCTTTTCCTCGCCCTTTTTTTTCTTTTATTTTTCCAGTTTTTCATTTCCATCCTTGTTGTTTCCGTCCATTTAAAATGATAAAAATCGCAAACAATTTCTATGCCCGCAGTGTACCCAAGACAGGGGAGGGGTCAGGGTAAAATTTTGGGTGGAAAATCGAGGGTAAAGCGATGGCATTTCACTTACCAATTAAAACGTTTGTCACCGAATTTTCCAAACTTGTAGAACGTCAACTTTTTGTGATTTGAAAACTTTTTGACTCGAACCGATCGAACGTCGACCGAAAGTGAATCGGACGAATAGAAAGATCTACGATAGACCTGAAAAGTTCAAATGACAATATGTTCAAAGTCAACTTGGGGATCTAAAAATATTTGAAAAAGTAAGTTGACCAATTCGGATTGAGATCAGTTTTTGAATTTGAGAATTTTAACACTTATTATCGGTTTTAGAGATAGGTAAAATCAACTCTTAGTATAACGACAAATATGAATTACTTACTATTATTACTATTTTCAAATTTGTAATCCCTTGTTAAGTAAAGTTTAGGAAAAGCCTTGTCGGCAGAAAAAGCGCATATTAAACCCAATAAAAAAAAACACAAAACACGATAAGTAGAGATGAAAAAAGTGTCCTTAAAGGTGAACAAACCCCCACAAAAGCAGATCTTCTAACCCACCACAACAGATGTCCTGCCCCCAGCAAGGACCTCCTCTTATCCAACAGGCAGCCCTGCCATGTGCGAAATTATAAACATATGTAAATGTTAAATCGAGTAATTCGGAGCTGAGGGTTCAGGGTTCAGGGTTCAGGGCCCGAAGTTCGGGGTTTCAAGCGAGGCTCCATTCACCCGTTTAATACGCCGCAAAATGTTTGAAAATTGCTCTTTAAGGCGAAAAGTTTAAATGCGAAATGCTGACAAATGCGTTTCGATTTTCATTTCAACTGGAGGCTGGTCTGAGAGAAGATGGTTGGTCTCAAAGTTGGAAATTAAATTAAATTTCTGTATTGGCACATTTTTTGTTGCTTTCCTTTTTTTTCGTCGTCCTGCATTCGTTTCATTTCGTTTGCCACGCATATGCATATATGCAAAGTCCTGATCCGAGT